TCCAAGGGCGCGATTTCGTTAAAAATTTGACCATGTTGTCTGAAATGCTGATTGCAAAAATTGCATTTGATTTTCAAGAGAGCTTCTTAGTGTAGGATTGCTTTAGATAGGATAGCCGAATGTTGATTTTTTCGAAGTCTGCTAGCTATCCAAGCAAAAATCCAATTCGTAAAGACTAGCGTATACCTACGTCTCCCCGTACTGTGACATATCTAAATAGTAGAAGACGCGCCGAGCTGAGTTGAATGGTACCTTTGGATTTGTAATCCATAAACTTTGAATCGAGATAAGCGAATTTCGAAACTCTGGAGAAGTTAGGCTGCGCCTGCTAATCTAAGCGCCTGCTGCCTAACTTTGTCGCCTAACTTCGGCGGCCATTGCCTAAATTAGGCAGGCATAAATTTCAACCAAATCCTTTGATAATTGCTAAAATAATTGCCAAACATTTTTGAACCTAAACCGTTTGCCGTCCAAGTTCTATAGCGGCAGTGTCTCAAAATAGTGGATTACGATATTTTGCAACGATAAACGCTTGATCATTTTGGAGAACCAAGGTATGATGATGAACGATTTCCAAAGCTCTTGTATTCCAAAGATTTTGCAGAGTTCGATGCATGTTTAATTTGAAAGAATTTTGTTCAATTTTGAAAAATCATTTTGCAATGCCCGGGAGGTTAGCTTCGACTTAAAAGCAGCTTGTACTAAAACAAAGTTTGCTTTGTTATTCTGTAACTGAATTACAGGCTGGCCGTTAAGTATGGGCTTTACAACATGCAATATATCTTTTTTCTGAAATATTCTATCATGGCGGCTAATGTGCCAGTAGCTTAATTTTAAGAAAAGTGAAAATCATACCAACTGAAATCTTCTGATGCAAACGGGACTTCTGAATCTGCTTTCTCTTGAAAGGTGTTGCGGCACGTTCAGTCAACACCATATTTATAGTACCTTAATATCTTAATAGTATAGTATCTTAATTCGAAGAGGAGAATTTTTTGCTATTACGGCACTGTGTTTTTCCTCGGACTGTGCTCTAAAAACCTCAGTCTGAGATTCTATTTGATTAATAATCGGGTTATTTTAAGGGATTTGCAATAGGTGCATTTTAAGTAGCATTTTTGACGCATCAACTTCAAGGTAAGTTGCTGAAGTCTGTATGTATGTGCAGGAATGCAGTCTTTCAGAGGTAACACATTAAGATGCTGGCGTTTTTGGCATGCAAAAAATAACCTCACAGAATTTTATTTGCTATGAAAAATTATCAAACGAAAAATGTGACGCCCATAACGTAGCACAAAAATCTAAGCATTTTTTGAAAACTGCTGAAATTCGAGGTTTCGCGGTTTTTTGGCAAACATGAAGCCCCGAATCTTGAATCAAACATATCGAAAAGCAACTATAGGCAACATGTAATAGCTAGAAGTGGACACATTCGAATCAGTAAAAACGTAATAAATTTTGAACACCATTCAAGGTGGGGCGCCTCTGAGAAGTTCAAGTCAAATGCGTCAAGTTTTGAAGGCAATTTGTCATAACTAAGCTGCGAAAAGTCAGAATTCGCTATAACTTTGCATTGTAGGGTAATCCTGTATGATGAACATGAATATCGTATTCATTTGCCGTTAAAATGAAATTCATTTTTGATCTCACGAACGAGGCCTTTTCATGCGAAACGGATCTCATTTTTGTGATCAGCATGTCGAATAAGCCCTATAGGTCAATTTTCAGCAAAATCTGATGCATTCTAAAATTTTTTCCATGGTACCGTGAACTAACCGTAATCCTTACATAAGATGGTTAAATTCGGCAAAAATGTGTGCTTTAGAAGCATACATCATCTTATATTGCCAAAAATAAATGCGCTGCATTCAAAGAGGCAAAAGTTATATAAAAAGTTGCATTACTTATGTATGTGCCAACCTAATAGAGAGGAAAGGTACTCATTACTTGGCTAAGCCTTGTAATTCTCAACTACATATCGCTTTTCTATTCTGTCAACACTGTATTAGGACATAATTACTTCGAACAGTGTTGACAGAATTTAGAAAAGCGATATGTGATAGTTGAGACTTACAAGGTTTAGCCAGAAGTAATGAGTACCTTTTTGCTTTTGCTTTTTTTTGCCAACCTCTCCAATTCACCTTTCTAATCTACGTTTCGTAACAGCCCGAATGAGTCAGACGAGTTTTTGAAGATGGGATGATTACAAGTATGGCTAGATGAAGGTTGCGCTCTGAAAGTTGTGGAATTTTTTTGTGAGAGGAAATAAATCATTGGATCAAATAAATCATCAAATCAATCAATCTTCTAACTAGCTATTGTCCTTTGGTATACCAAGTTTGATATCGTACTACGCCCGACTGGTTGTTCACCACTTAGTACAAAAGAAACTTGGTTATGAAATCCTTGCCCTAAAGGCAGTATCCGCTCAAATCTTCGTCTTTCATCTTTTTGTCTGGAGCCTTTCCGTGTTTCTGGTAACAAATTTGAAGCGCAAAATGTGCAAAACCCTAAAAATCAGACTTCTGCAAACGCTTCCTGAATTTTAGAAGTCTTTTAGTACTTGGATGAGCGGACCTTGGTAGGGTGGGTGTGGCTCGATAATCATTTCTTAGGTTTGAGTCCATTTTTTTATTCATAGTTTACATTAGAGGAACGGACCAAAGCAGATGTCCTACTTCTAGGTCCTTCTTGTAGCTAGATACCAGTGGCGGTCCCAGGATTTTGGGAGGGGGGGGGGGGTTGGGAGGGACAAAATTTTTTGAGTGAAGACGCGTGGTGTTAGCCACGCACTCCGAAAAAACTTTTGGGATGCCTCCCAAAACTTTTGTGGCCCATGTCACCCTCAACATATTAGAAAAAATTTTTTTTGCAGGGCTGATTTGGATTTTCAAAAAATTTTAAAAATTATTTCAATTATTTACAAATATAAACAAGTCACTTGCACATTTTTAAACCCAATAAGTAACTTTCAAAAATTTCGAGACCCATTCTCGCGGGAGGGGGGGCCTCGGAACGCCACTGCCAGATACTGATCGGGTGGCTAAGGTTTTGCTAGGCGCTGCCTCTGAGATACAATACCGCTCACAGAATGTGCAAAATTTCCGTGAATGTCGCGAAATTCCGGGAATTCCGCGAACTTCCGCGAAATTCCGGGAATTCCGCGAAATTCTGGGAATTCCGCGAAATTCCGGAAATTCCGCGAAATTCATATGAATCACGCAAATTACGCAGGGCCATAACTTCTTTCCGAATGAGTATATTCGAAATCCGAAAACAGCATTGTATTCAGCTCGTCAAGGCGAATCTTTTGATATACAGGTTGTCTCCAATATCCTCTTTTCAATAATCTTGAATCTGCATGCGGACGCCTTTTCGCGTGGGTGTAACGCAACAAGCATCACACATAGGAGATTACGGCGGGCACCCTTCGATAGTACTCTTTCAGTAGATCATTCTGCGCTAAACAGCAGCCGAAGACTCTCTTTCAAAAGAGATAGAAGAGCTGATAAACTCTGGAAAAATCAAGCTGTTCCAAGTTCTACTAGCCGTAACTTCCTTCAGAATGGACATCTTCGAAATCCGAAAACAGTGTTGTGTTCAGCTCGTTAAGGCGAATCTTTCGGTATACATTTCCAATTTTTTCAAAATTTTCTGCGCGCGTATATTCGCAAGGTCGCAACGCAACGCACATCAAACATAAAAGACTACAATAAGCACTATTGGATTGTGCTGCTCCCGCAGATTACCGAGCGCTAAAAACGAACTGGAGAATCTTTTTCGAAAAAGATAGAAGAGCTGGTGAATTCTGGAAAAATCGTGTTGTGTCAAATTTTGCCCACTGTAACCCTAAAATGGGAAGCTCTCCTGCTAAGCAGATGTGCTTTTCGTAATCAGCAGGTCAGATAACCTCTTTGAGCGAAGTTTCCTTATAATCCAAGATCATCGACATTTTGACCAAAACCCATCGGCGAGCTTCAGGGCGTAGAACGAGAAAAAATCAAATCACCCGAATTTCTTTGAAAACTTGCTCATAGAGGTTATCTGACCTGCTGATTACGAAAAGCACATCTGCTTAGCAGGAGAGCTTCCCATTTTAGGGTTACAGTGGGCAAAATTTGACACAACACGATTTTTCCAGAATTCACCAGCTCTTCTATCTTTTTCGAAAAAGATTCTCCAGTTCGTTTTTAGCGCTCGGTAATCTGCGGAAGCAGCACAATCCAATAGTGCTTATTGCAGTCTTTTATGTTTGATGTGCGCTGCGTTGCGACCTTGCGAATATACGCGCGCAGAAAATTTTGAAAAAATTGGAAATGGAATTTCAAGGACATGCTGTATACCGAAAGATTCGCCTTAACGAGCTGAACACAACACTGTTTTCGGATTTCGAAGATGTCCATTCTGAAGGAAGTTACGGCTAGTAGAACTTGGAACAGCTTGATTTTTCCAGAGTTTATCAGCTCTTCTATCTCTTTTAAAAGAGAGTCTTCAGCTGCGGTTTAGCGCAGAATAATCTACTGAAAGAATACTATCGAATGGTGCCCGCCGCAATCTCCCAAGTGTGATGCTCGTTGCGTTACACCCATGCGAAAAGGCGTCCGCATGCAAATTCAAGATTATTGAAAACAAGATATTGGAGACAACCAGTATATCAAAAGATTCGCCTTGACGAGCTGAATACAATGCTGTTTTCGGATTTTGAATATACTCATTCGGAAAGAAGTTGTGGCCCTGCGTAATTTGCGTGATTCACATGAATTTCGCGAAATTTCCGGAATTTCGCGGAATTCCCGGAATGTCGCGGAATTCCCGGAATTTCGCGGAAGTTCGCGGAATTCTCGGAATTTCGCGGAATTCACGGAAATTTTGCACATTCTGAGAGAGGTATTGTATCTCCTGGCTTTTCATCTTAAAACGAATTACAGCTGACATTTGCCACGCTGGTGCCTGATCCTGTCAAGCTTTGGGAATAGTTTATTAGTTAATTTTCTTATTGCACACAACCAAAGGAGGACAATGAATAAGTACAGCAGGCAGTCGAAGACACCTACATAACAAACAATGCTAGAACAATATGTATAAACACATCTGTAAAACAGAGATCAAAAAGACCTCTATGCTTGTTTACATGAGGGATTCGACAGTATTATAATTGTCTGTAAGTATAGCAAGAGATGTCTCCCTTCGTTTCTTGGCAGAACAATTCCGTATTCGTAACATAACTGAATGCTTATTAAAATAAGGTGTTACGAACTTTTTGGCTCACCTGAAGTCTCCATTAGCGCAGATAACGTCGAATCTGCCTCCAAATTGGGCTTCGGCCGCAAGTTGGATCAATCGTTTGGAGCTGTTGAGATTGTCGTCGATGTTCTGGAATTATTTCATTGATTAAAATTGTGATATCTGACCACGAACGGTGCCTTTTACAAAGATAGCCTTAACTAATACCTCGAGCATGAGCTTCCTCAAATCTTCAGAGTTACAGAGAGGATCGTCGGTCAGCTTAAGATTTGTTATGTCCACGACTTTCTCCTCAATTTCTTGAACTGCGGTTTCTGTGGCTGCGGTCGAAGTGCTATCACCAACATCAGTGGGGGTCTACATATGAGCTCATCATATTCCTCTTCAAAAAAATCAAAGGCTTACCTCAGTCGTTATTTCTACGCCAGATTTTTCCAGCGCCTGATCCTGCTCCTCGATCACTTCTTCATTCTTAGAACCGGCTGCCGCAGCTTCTGCAGCTGCTTCATGTTGAAGACTCTGAAATTTCAAATGCTTTTACGATAGTTGCAGTACACCACTGATACTTAAGGAAAATGAGCTTCTTTCAAGCTTACACTGACAAGCTCCTGAGGTGCAGCAGAGTCTCTTTGGGCTGATGCTACAGGTCCCTGAAATACATTACATGTATTCTTGATTTGCACAAAGCACTTTGCATGCGCAAAAAAAGGGTTAAGTCATCCGCTTTCTAGTCTATCACAGCTACAAATAGCAGTTTTTGTTAGAAACAGCGTCCAAAAATCTACGATATCTTAATTTGTGATAGCTTAAAGGCACGTTTAGGCAAAACCTAAGCTACCCGATTAGTGACCAGTCTACAAAAAGGCCTTAGAAGTGGAAACTGCATTGATCCGGACCTCTAAGCTGACCTCTGAAAGGAAACAAATGGACCTGGAACCAGCGAAAATGCTATCAAGCATCGCCCAGCCTACCAAGCTCCGCACTCAGTTAAAGTCGTCTCTGCTTTCAGGATAGAGCTTTTCGTTTGTTAATAGGGTTTATAGGGGTTTTGCACTTTGCAGTTCATCTCTGCAAGCAGGGGCATTGAAAGGCCTTAGAACGACAGAAATATGAAAGAAGAACATTTGCGTGGACGCTGTCTTCAAGGATGAACTATTCTTCGGTTTAATATACTTGTAAGGAAAGAATACAAATCTGGATTCACCTTTCGAGATGAGACACATATATTTGAAAGCTTGGAACCCTGATCCCAAATATGCTATTCATAGCTGCTGAGCGCATTCTGAAGCGAGTTATGAGCTTGCTATCGTGCGTAATTGACAGGCCTCTCAATATGCTAAGACGGCCTGTAGTTAAGAAATATGCTCGAAAAAACTCCTAGGATTTTCTAAATCAGATCAAGTCTTTCAGTTACAAAAAGGAGTTTAGTGCAAATTCAAAACCACTTAGACATTGACACCGTAGCACAGTAGGTCGTTGAGCGCGCAAATTTTGCACAGAAAAAAGACCATTACTCGTTTCAGAATGCGTCCAGCAGCTGAGTACAACATTTTTGAGATCAGCGTTACAAAACATATGTGTCTCTCCCAAAGGGGAATCTAAGTCCATATCCTTCCCTTGTTAGGGAAAACATATTAAATATAACAACAATCTTTATAAATATAAAACTCAAACACTGTACCTTTGTTTGTTAGGATGTTTGTGGCTCATAGACTCTTTTGTATATAAACCGAAAAGGCTGAAATTCTTTCCCCTGTAAACAAGCCATGGCGCAGAAGATAGGCTACTTTTCTCGACGACTCGCTGGGTCCTTCTATCGATCTATTGATTTGTTTACCTACATCCAAGAAAACGAAAGCTCTTCAATTACCATCAAATCATTTCCCCAAGTGAAGTAGAAGAGAGCGGTAAAGACCATTTACATTTTGCGGCGAAGACGATGCGGTGTGGTCACGAAGAGAGACGATCGAGAAGGAAGACAACAACTACGGTGCCACGAGAGCGATGCAGTGCAAAACAGGAGCGAACAGGAAGGAAGAGGGAAAGGGGAACGAAAATTAAAATGAAGAGTGAGGGACGAATTGTGAGTTAGACGTTTTGATCACTAAGCCAGGCCAGTTGCCAATGCCCGGGCTGGACTGGAAATGTCTTCTAGTTGTTTTATAATAATTACTGATTGATAATTATTATACTTACTCCGTTTTGTTATTATACCTACAAATACGTTACTGGATATTCTGGTGTCATAATTCTAGGAATTCTCTCGAAAGTGCAAACTTACAATTTACTTAGTCATTTACTGTTTCTCCGAAAGTTTCTATCTTCAAAAAAAATTGCAACATATCTCTGACTAACTTCATAATCAATCGAATATTCCTTAAACGGTAACAATTTTTGGAATAGTTTCTTGGCTGCTTCACAATAAGAAAAGGAGTCACAAGTTGAAGAGGAAGAAAAAAAAATCCTGGGACATCCGCTTAAAAACCGCATCCTCATCTCCTGAGGTGAAAATGAGCTTCACCGCCCTCCTTTACACGACTATGGGAAAATGCTTGTTTAAACATGATAAACCTACAATTCCTTAAAAAAAACGTAAACAAATCGATAAATCGATAGAAGGACCCATCAAATAGCCGCAAAAAGTAGCCTATCATCTGCACAGGTGTCGAAAACATATGTGTGAAAGTTTCAGCTGAATCGGTTGAACGGCGCGCGTTTCTATAACGCACATACCCTCCAACTAACAATTTTTGAGTTTTATATATGTATAGATGTAATGATAATGATAAGTTGATGCCAAAATAATGAGCATTCTTTTACGACAGAAGCAGTGGATATCAAAAATGCAAAATATTGTGTTCGATACAGACGAAGCAGATTCTCTAAAAAAAAAATTGGTTTTCTCAAAAATCGTAATCTAGCTCAAGTTGAAAGGCAAAATCAAAAATATTCAGCGCACCGGATAGAATTTCAAAAACGAAAAATCCTGCAAGCCTTCCACTGATTCGTTATATAGCAAACACATTAAAAATACATAAATGCCGCTGCTGGGAATTTTTTCGGAGCTGAAATCAGGAAGCAGATAGGTTTGAAATACCACAATGTCATATTTTTCGGATTTTTTGCCTAAGCGCTTTTTTTTCACACTAGAAAACATACATACGAGGTCAAGATTCTAACCATGTACCTTAATCGTACAAATAAGTCCGCTTCTTTGACAAGAAAAATCGATGAAAACACCTTCGCACCGTCAACTATCCTGCACATGAGCCCTCCCATCAGATAAGATGGTCTACAGATAAGTCGGACTTATGTGACAGTCTTCGGACTTCTCTGACAAAATTTCAGGGTAGCTATAATGGAAAGAGAACGATCTTATCTGTGAGATTTTAGGGAAACTAGAGCGCAAAGATGTTTAAGAGTTCTGCCCATTTTTTTCTCATTTGCAGCCATGAAAAAATACAAATATACTGACCAAGTGGGAGAGCAGGGTTTTCTCGGCTAAGATCAGTTTTTGAGGCACTCAGTGTTTCTAGATTTTAGCTTCAACTTCAAGCTGATAACGATCTACGTGGATATCTGGTAACTATTTGATAAAGCATGCTTTGCTTTATCAAATACTTCCCTCAAGCATTTTTTCATATTCAGACTAGTGCTGTAGCAAAAAAGAACGCTCGTTACTTTTGCATCAACATAACGCTGCGTGACCGACTTTGAAGTTCGTGAGAATTTTTGGACTGAGATCCATTTCCAGAGTACTCATATCTTTATCTGACTGCAATCTTTACATAAATTACGGCCTTCGCGGAAATTTGTTGAACACATCGTAGCGCTTGCAAAGAGATTATTTCCTCTTCGTAAACAAACACAAGTTCTTAGACAGTTGAAGGGATACCTCCAGCGGACAAACGGCGCGAATCTGCCAATTCGCGCTCTGGAGCGCTCCGGAGCCCTGTTATTTCCCCATTTTGGTGCTCCGGGGCTCTCCCTAATCTGGCGCACCTCCGGAGCAGAGATTTGCGCGTCCCGGAGAGGGGTCCCATTCGTCTGCTTGTGAGCCACGGTGAACGAATGGGACCCCTCTCCGGGACACGCAAATCTCTGCTCCGGAGGTGCCCCAGATTTGGGAGAGCCCCGCAACACCAAAATGGGTGAAATGGCAGGGCACCGGAGCGCTCCAAAGCACGAAGTGGCAGAATCGCGCCATTTGCCCGCCGGAGTTATCCCTTCGACTGTCTGAGACTAGGGCATCTGCAATATCCAATTCTCTAATGTGGCCTCCAAACGGAAACGATGAACCTGGAACACAGGAATTTGTCATCAAGCCAATTCTGTCCTATTAAGCTCTTCCCACCCAGTACTGATAGTGATAGTCATCTGTGCCTTAAAAGCGTCCCAGCAGAATTTTGCTTTCCCGTTTTTTTTTTCTATTCGAGTATGCTCGCCATTTCAGCGCGCTTCGAAGATGAATCTCTTCGAAACTTTCCAGGTCGCATTCAGTGAAAATACGCCGGAAGTCTTCCGCATCCCGCCCCTCTTCTCGGCCGCGCCTACTTACATGCTTTTCCACTGAATGTGGACCTGAAAAACTTCGGAAAAGCTCATTTTCGATACATGCGCTAGAAATCCCAAATATGGACTCCCCATGGCGAGAAGGCTCCGAAACTGTGAAAAACTGGAAAACGAAACGAAACGACACTGTCTTTAATGATAAGGCCTCCAGAAATCAGATTTTTTGGGGGTTTTGCAAACTTTGCAATATGTCCGTAATCAGGGCCGCGGAAAGGGCGCAGAACGACAAGAACATGGAAGACGAAGATTAGGGTGGATGCTGTCCACAAAGCCTGTTTTATTCCTTTTCTTTTTAAACTGCACTTCACTAATCGTCCAGGTTTACGTCTGCTTGTTGCTGATGTTTCCCAAACATTGCATCACCATTAATATGTAGTTGACTGCACGAGATCGACTGAGCTGAACGCTCGCGAGCTCTCTAACGGGCTAATATTGGCATTCGCGCGCTTGAGTCACCATAGCGCCCATATTCGGCAGTCGCGTTGCAGGCACGCTCGCGTGCGTTCAACCTATAGCGACCTGGGCAATTTCGTGCACTAGAAGTTACCTGGTATCCACTGGGAGGGGGTGGAGGTTGCTGATAAGCTGGTCCCGTGGCAGCAGCAGGCGACTGGTGGTATGCGACTAATGGTACAACAATAGGCTGCACGTCTTGAGGTGGTGGAGGAGGAGCAGGGGGTACCTAGAAGGTTATGGTGGGTACGTTGCTCGATATCGAAGCAAATGTGAACAGAAGCTAGCAAGACTTGATTTACCTGTGGTGGAGCATATACGGGTGACTGTGGTAGTTCTGGAGTTGGTGGATTGTAGGATGGTCCAGTGTAGCTAGGTGGAAGGACTGGCAGTGGTGGAGGAGGTGGAGGCAATGCTGGAGCCGCATAACTCGCTCCGCATGATGTTGGTGGCGGACAAACAGCTAGAATGAGTAAGAGATATAATTGCTTAACATATTTTTGGAAGAATGCTGATGCTTACGTGCAGGAGGAGGTGGAGGACACAGAGGAGCCGGAGGGCATATGGGCGGAGGTGCGCAGCCGCAGCCGCCGCCCGTTGCTCCGGTACCGAAGAAGAACGGGGTTGCAGAGACGAACAACACTGATAACGTCGCTAACCGCAGCATCTGATCACAGCCTGATTTTAATATGCCCACAGAATTGAACTATGCTGACTGACGAAGCTAAGTTATTTTGTGGAGTAACATTACTTCAAGACTGAAGCTCAGCGTCGATTAACAAGTATGGGCAATTCATCGCACGCAAAGACAGGGACCACTACGGGCGCGGTCAGCGTGTCGCTGGTCGAGAGCTCTTTCATCCTTCTTGTCGTTTGTTTTCTCTTCTATGCACGAATAATCTTAGATAATGATGGCGACCAGTCGGGCGTGCGATGAGTTGCCTCTTTACCATCTGTTCTATTGCAAGATTTTACTCAACTGACTTTGATCACAATTTTCACATATAGTAGCTCAACATCAAACAATGAAGATCATAAAAAGTGGAAAAAGCGGCTGAAAGCTATGATGACAGTCCCTATGATCGTCATCTCAAAGACACTTAGACTTGCTTTCATCGAGTTTTTTTTTATCGAGATGGGGTCCCAAATTCTCAGCTTCCGAAGATCCGTATTGAAAAACGATTAGGTAAGAAGGTATGGAATAGGTCCCGCGCATGTGCAATTACACCGCCACTCTGCTCTAGCAAGAAACCGTTATAATTCCTAGTGGGATTAGCTGCTCTAGAGGATGCCTTATTTGATTTCTTCCATGAAAATATTTCGGAGCAGACTCGGGTAAAAAATGTTGCGACAATGGCGCTGTAGACAGTTGATAAGAAAAAACAAATTTGCTTGGACTCTCGAGAAATGACTATAGTCGGCATTTGTTGTTCAGTTTGTGTATGCACATTAAGCCATGCGTTACACGACTTGACATTGCAAAATGTTAACTTCTTGGATTTTCTGCTTTGAGTTTCAACAATTGAGAAAGCAGTGTTTTAAGGGAGCTGGTATAGTCGCCCTCACCCCACTAGTCGGTCGGTGGACGAATTCAAATTTGAATTGGAGCAGGCCTGTCACGGCAGAGCGCGGCAGGAGACAATGCTCAGCAATTACAAAAACTCAATATAGGTCAAAAACGTTGCAACAATACAAAAACCGCTAAGCAATGGCGAAGAAATACGCAGTGTGAATGCGTGAATTTGAACGGAGAGCTAAGGTGCCGTGCTCTGCCGCGACCTGCCTGCTCCAGTTCAAATTCGAATTCGTCCACCGACCGACTAGTGGGGTGAGGACGATTATACTACCACAGTCGAGTCATTTCATATAATCATGTCATTGCACACACTGTGCACCTTTGGCCTCCTCATCCTAATTCTGTGATAGGAAAACGCAAAAGGCTGACCGAATGCTATTGCTTACGTCTCTTTAGAAAGACTGATACTCAAAAGCATCGCAAAGAAAAAACACCGAAATAACTTACTCGGAGTGATGTCTGCATCAAGAATCTAGGATGACGCCAAAGATGGAAATTGTGTGCGATGACACACATGATGATATGAAATGAATCTACTGAAGTTCTACTAACAATCCGCGATCGTGGTGCAGCAAATTAAGTACAGATTCATATGAAATATGAGCAATCAATAGAAATCTTCCCATGCGACTCAGCAAAACAGCCAGCGAAATTTTCGGTGAATGTAGCATGAGGAATGATCTGCAAAAAGCGGTGCTGTAGCTTGAGCATTCTAACTTTACACATGAAGTGGAAAGCGAGTTATGTCAAATTCGTCGCTCATAATCTTGCCGATGCGTCTTGTCTTAAAAGGAGCAACTGAATGATACCGCTGCTAGGGAGGACTATATGTCGCCGAAAGGAGGTGGTCCCATTTGCGACAAAGCATGCAGCATCTCACACTGCAGGCATTACAAATGAAGTACCAGTTCGTGCGGGATAGAGCCCATCGATAACATATAGTCCCCCATCACCGCTGCTAAACTGAACAGAGGAAAGTTTTGGAAATGACAGCGTATGCGCCGTGAAACATTTGAACGAAACAACCTGTTGAGATGTGTCGCTCATAAATGAGGTCGAGCCTGCACGTAAACTTTCTAGGCGACTCGAACTTCTTATTGTAAAAAATTGACGGGGAAAGCGATGTGGATTCATTGATGACCATAACTTTCAAGGTCAAAAGGGTTTCGTCTTGCAAGACTCTTTTCGGGAGTTATGGGAACGCATTAAGGGTGTCAAGAGACATTCGCGTAGATCTACGATCGTCCCCTGCCACGTTTTTGTTCAACAGCTTTCACCTTGTTCAGAATGCTCATACAAGTGGTGAATAGAAAAAGAGAATAAGCAGTATAAGAGTTACGGGAAGGCGGCGTTTCACTTTCATATATAAATCTTGCTTGTCGAGAAAAAATGCCCCATACTTCTTACTTCCAAGATGCAGAACAGAATTTTTTTTTTGCATTCTTGTTATTATTAAGTTATCCCAAAAGTTTTGTCCGGTTTTTTCATCGAGCACTAAAACTCACAGAGTATCAATCCATGAACGACTTAGGTGCCAGTTAATTCACATTTTTATCCTCTTTCTTATAGCTAAATTTGCTCTCTGATCTATCCTGTACTTGCAATGTTATTGCCATGGATTTTTGAGCAGCTCAGCAGTACCGCCAAATTTTTCCTGACTTTTAAAGCTTTTATCCTTATCGTTTTCAAGGAAGGCTGGTAACTGTTATGTAAAGCAAACCTTTGGCTATTTCGTATCCATTTTAGAATACATGGGCTACGTTTACCAAGTCCGTTAATTATTTCTTTGATAGAAACCGCGGTTTTTGATCATGCCTACCACGTAAAAGTACCGAAAATTTCAAATAGCTGCTTTTTCGAAGCAAATCAAACTTGGTTATGTTGCATAAATAATGATCAATAAGAATCATGTTTCAATTCGCAGAAACTACAAAAGCTTTCATGTATTTGCTGCAGTTACACATTTTAGGACTTTCCCAAAAATCGAAACCTCCAAAAAAATAAATTTCTGAAGCTAAAAACAGCAGATCGGGAGAATCTAGAAATACTACTTGTAGTCCGAGAATTGCTCTTTTGATTTATATTTAATCCTTTCCCAAACTTTGGAATGAAGTTTTCAAAATTTAGTCCAACTTTGAGCAGATAAAATTGATGGGTGGAGCATGGCATTTATCAAAAAAAACATACAAGATGCGACTCGAAAATGTAGCCGTAAGAAAGAGGAGGAAAAGCTGCATCGACTGCATGTTGAAACTCATTCAGTTCTCTATTTTGCGTGGTTTTATAATGGTTTTAAAAAGCCGTGCAAAACTTTCAGGACAACTATCACAAATATAATATTTTGGAAACGGCCGCTCTCAATAAATTACAGCGCAAAATTACCAGCATAAAATGATAGTGACCATTTCGAATAAATTTTGATAAAGTATCCGGTAAGAGCTGTTTAAACAGCTGTCTCCATTGTGAATCCAAACATAGAGCGAAAAGTACATGAGCAGCGCTGGAGAGAAGAAATTCCTAGAAACGCAAAGCGTTGATATCAATTTTGAAGAACTTTAGACAAATATGAACTCTCTCAAGTGGATGATTCTCTGAGAAAGTGTCCTCTCACAAGCGGAAAGATTAGATAAAATCACTGCAGCTGCAAGAGATGGGATCGAGTACGACGACGACGACGTCTATCTCTTCCTTAAATGGCGCTTTTGTCCATGAAGGCTCAGCCGATTTTCAACTGAATCAGGTGCGGTTTTCGGCCGTCTTGAGGCAGGTTTCATGTGCCTCCGTAGCCACTCCCGAACTCGATACGCGGAAACATCGCTCATCAGCGACAACTGGCGTACCGATCATTAGCATTTTCGCTCTCTATCAAGCCAGCTAACGGATATATCTCAGCGGATAATCACTTTCAAGACGATGTTCACACCACAGTGACCTTAAAGATTTTATCAACATCGAGGGTTCTTCTTCTTGACAATTCTGAACGCTTTCTCTTCAGAAAACGGTGGAGACTTTGGTACCAGGGCCCGGAACGAGCTGCCTTTAAGGTTTTAGAAACAAACTTTCTTCACTTTCAGACCTTTATAGACTTCGTCTAGAAACTTTCATTAAAAGACAGAATAATTTGTCAGGAGTCTGACTGAAGGGGTCGACCAAGATCTTGACACATATATTACAGCTGCAACGGTAGAATTTGTTCAAATTGCGGGATTGTCGGGATTCGCGGGATTCGCAGGATTCGCGACTTCACGGGATGTGCGGGATTTGCGGGACAAGCGAGATTTAGCTGTAACTTCTTCCAGAACAACTTTATATGAAAACTGCAAGAAAAATCGGCTTAACCTTGATGAGACGAATCTTTTGGTCTATGGTATGTCCGTAATTCATGGTGACACGGTAGTGATATGGTGATACCTTTTTATTTTTCATGGTAAAGCTTTTGTGAACATTTATCACAGCGTAAGTCGCGAATAGCAGGTTCTGTTAGGATGTTCTCATTATCGATAGCTACTGCGAAAAATTGGGCAGTTTTTATTTACCCTTAACACTGAGATAAGCATTTGATCATTTATCACTGATAATATCACATTTTGGGTCATTTTTGGCATATGGTAAGAAAAGTACTGTAGGAAACGCTGAGTGAATTTCTGTCGCACTTTCTCTCATTATAAGTAATCGATAGGCTTTTCTACTTCTATTGCTCGGTGCGATTGTTAGATCCCTCGCTGCAGCAATCGGTCCATTTCTCATTGGCACATGCCATTGCTGCCAATTCTTACCTAAAATGGCATTTTTGTCTCAACTCGCTTCAAAAGCCTGGACTGAGATTCTGCACCTACATGGAAGATGAACGTGGGAATCGACCGCATGAATTTAAAGCCATTCTTATCTGTCGTTGTCATTGATATCATCACTTTATCACTTATCACTGATAATATCAGAAAATTGTATCATTTTTGACATACAGTAAGAAACGTACTTTGGAAAACGCTGCGCGAGTTTTCATCGCTCTATCTCTTGTATATGTGATCTACAGGCTTTTTCAGTTCAGTTGCGCCTTTGGTGCAGTAGATAGATCCGATCCCTCACTACAG